ATTTAAGAAGAGAGGAGGTTGCAAACATGCACTTTCAGTGTGGTTTGGCCTTTGGTAGCACGTTTCAAGAAGATATGGTCCAGTTTACTCTCTATTTGAGAAGATATAAAAAATTAGGTGCGAACAATTACTATATTATTAGTAAAGTACTCAAATTACTTTTTGGTCTCCTTTAAGCCCATTGTTATTATTATTATTACTACTGCTATTATTATTATAAATGCATTCTTTTTTTTTTTTTCTGAAGTACTAATCCCAAGCAAGCAAGACTAATAAATCAAGAAATGTTCTCAGGCATGAAACTGAAATGAAATTAGGAATACAAATGGAAGAAATTGTACAATCAAATGTGTAAGCACTGAGGTAATATTTTGTGCTCCAAACACATTGAGATGGGTGGTTATACAAGCAGAAGGATTAGCAGTTAGGTCACCAAATTAGTCTTCTGAATTTTCTTGCTCTATCAAGAATTCACTTTGCTTCCTGACATCATTTACCATGCTGTATTAACCATAGTACTTTATCTATCAGTATTTCCAAATTATAAGCCTCTTACCCATAAATATATCTCTATGAAGAATTTATTTAGTGGCTCTGACAATGAAACTGCAACTGATAATATCTGTTGAACTTTATGTGCAACAGAAAGTGCTTTTGAAAAATTCTCACTTTCGTAGATTAGAAAAAAGAATAAACACGTTTTATATTTTTGCCTTCACTGTTTTAAGCACTAAAAAGATTTTGGAGAAAACAAATGTGGGGAATTCCAAAAAACAGAAGAATACTATTTTTTTACTTTAATAGAATATTTGTATTGAAAAGTAGATTTTTCGAGGCAGGGGATCTGTCTTTTAGTTGGCAGCTTTGTAGGTAAAGAAATATTAGGCTGCACTTAAGTAGAGCCAAACCATTATTCTGGCTGAGTCTGGTTTCAGTAACTACCCCCAAATCATTGCCTGTTTAGAAATTAGAAAGCATGGTGTTTTTGGTCCCAATCCATAAAGAATACTTGTATATCTCTTGTACACATTTGCAACAGAACAACTAGGCCTGAAATAATCTTCACTTTTGCCAGGAACATGGGTGTGAGAAAAAAATCCAAATGGGATGCTTTATTAACAAAGATAAATTATTTTTGATCTTATATAAATAATGTTGCAAACTGACATAGAAATACATTCAGTTATCATGTCTAGATTCTGTAAAAGTGCCTTATAGCCTGCCAAAATATCCTCAAGGTGATGCTGTTGCCAATCCTCACAGCACATGGATCAATGCAACATTATCCAGCATACCAGAAACATACAAAGCATTGACAAGTGGTAGATTCCCCACCCAGGTTTAGCCCTTTATACCACATCTAGAGAAATGGTTTCCAGCACTTGAACATTTAAATTAAATTATTTTAAAGCAGTATATAATTCGGCAAAAATCATTCTTACTCATGAAGACAGTTTAGGTCCAATGAGAATATGGTTTGTTCTGATACCTTTCAGTAAAGAATTCTTGCTCATTGAAGCCAGCTCCAAATGGGGAATAATTAAATATCTAATGGTAAAAAATACACATTTTGAGCATTTTAATGCCCAAATCACTTTCATCTTAATATATGTTTCTACTACTTATAAAAGGAGATAGATGGATAGGGTTTTTGTTGTTTTATGGGTTTTTTTTTTTTCAAAGTAAACATGTCACTCTGAAATTGTGGGGATTCTAGGGAGAAGTCACGTATAAGTTGTCTTATGAAAATCTAGCTTGCTGAATTGTGTTTTGCATCCATGTAGTTGCTCATGCTGATTCCACTGTTTGACGCACCTTTCCCACCTTCTTGCACCTGGCTGATATTTTCTGCATTTCTCAAGATTCAGCTGCAGGGCCCACATCATGATACTCGTGATACTTACATTATATTGAAATTATTGGTTGTGTGCCTGTGTCAAGAAGATCTGCAAGATCCTGTGGTCTGGAATGGTGTCTTAAAGTTTCATCCTTTCCACCCGGCACGGTGCCTACCTGACTTACGATGGGCAGTTAAAAATGTATCTTGAAAAAGAGATAGAACAATTTAACCCAAAAGGAATTGTGTATTTCACCAAAAGGGCAGCTGCTTCAGACAAAGCTGTTTACTCCTAAAGGTGAAATGATTTTCTTTTAAGTTATGTCTATGAAAAATGGAGTAATAAGGCAATTAGTACATAAAACAAAGCAATGGCCAGAGACCTACACTAAGACAAAATATTTTTTGACCTGCCTTGCTTCAATTGACCTAATACACCAGTTATAACTGATAACTGGCATATTTTCTTTCTTTGAAAGTATAGACATAGCTTAAAGGTACTCAAATTTCTCAACGCAAAAGCAATTCTTTGTGAATTTGCCGGTGAGTTTCCTCTCCATTATTGAACATAATTAGATGTTTAGCAATTCTTAGAATCAAGTGGATTTGTGTCAACAACACAGTGTTATGTTGAATTTCTTAAATATTAAAAAATATACAACTTAATGTCCAGCCATGCATTTGCTGAAAGAATATTTTCTAAGGAATAAAAGTTACCATAATGTTTCATTTTAAGACACTTATCTACAAACAAATGATCTCCAAACCAAATGACCACGTGCTCATTTGTGAAACAAAAAAAAAAAGCGTTGTGACTTTAATCTAACTTTATCTTTTGTTTTTTTTCCACAGGATTCTCTTTTTCTTCCATCTCTGGGTCTGCTCCCCATTTTCCTCCCTTGTGTTTGACAGCCAACCTTCTTGCCCTTAGTGGGCAAGGTCTGAAGCAAAGGTCAAGCTACACAGGTTATTGAGACAGGGACATGTTTCGTGATATTCCAGGTGAATCTGCATAAGCTTTTTTAAAATCTTTTTGCTGGCAACATCATGAGCAGAAGAAACTCCGTACTTTTAGCAATGAATGAGCCAACCATCCTGTTTGTCCACCAGGGCCATATCACAGGCTAGCATGATGGATGGGGTGAGGGTTGGGAGTCAGTTGAAAGTTGAATAAATATATATTTTCAGATGGTAGTAACCCCCGGCTAAGGGGTGAAGGAGGAATTCCCAGGATGGCAGGCATTTATAACTCCTACTGTGGCTCATGCCCATATATAGACCCACCACCAGCCCAGTGTTTTCCTGACCTCATAAAGAAATAGATGTCACATATAATAAGGAGCTCATCCGGTTTTGGAGACTGGCAGGCAGTCTTTGACTAAAGTTGTTAATGCACATGGACCCCCCAATTTGTAGTGACTTAATATAAAACACATATAATTTGCACCTCCATTTAAAGACACTCATTCTTTTTTGAAGGAAAAAACCTCAAAGATGATTTCCCAAGGATAAAAAAAAAAAAAAAAAAGTCTCCAAATGCTTTTCAGAGTTAGTCATTCAAAAACTTAGTCTAAATATTCACCCAATGATTTTTAGACAAAAAAATAAAAAGTAAATAGTCTGGGTCTATAGAAAACAAACTCCACAAATATCCATCCTATTCTTTATTTGACTATAAAATTATTTATGTCTCTTGACAAAATCCTATTTTGTCTCTTGACAAAAATGCTATTTTGACCAAATATGAATTCATAGATTTAGTTTGTTCTAATTTTATGTTGCTGGAGGGCTTTTTTTTTTTTTTAAAGTTCCTAAATTCAAAGAGGAAATTTTCAAAACTCCGTCTTTAAAAAGAACCCAAAATGACTAAAGAGAAAACTAGTATGAAAAAAAAACAACTTTTGTCTAAAAATGTAAATGGATCAACAGGCACTTGCCCCGTGTATGTCTTCCCTGGAGCCTTTCTTTCAGGCCACGCCTCTGACAGAAAGGGCCTGGACCACAGGGCTAGCCTGGCCTTCCTGATGCAACCAGCCTCCGTTGTGGAAAAGGAATACCCGTGACCTAATATAGCCATGGAAGCAGTTTGCGGCCACATTTGTAATTATATGATATTATGACAATGGGACCATGAGGGCCCATACCTAGCTCTCAGTAGTTTTACTTGCTATTGAGGACATTGCAGGGGCCTAGATCCTCATTTCTTAAGGTCTAATTTTTTCTTTCTAATATACTCAAACTATAAAGACTTCTCAGTACAGTAAGTTTATGGTTGTCCCTAGCAACTGAGTAGTAAATTTAGCCTACTAATTAATTTTCTGTATTTTGCCTTAATAATAACAGTTAACATTGACTGAAGGCTTATTTGTGCCAGGAGTGGTTCTAAGTTCTTTGAGTCTATTAGTTTATTTAGCCCTCATTTAAATAATTAATTCCATGAGTCAGTTGCTCTTGATTATCTCTATTTAACAGATGTGGAAACCCAGGTAAAGTGTTCTGTGCCTCTCCAAGTCATGCTTTGAGCCACTCTGCTGTGTTGCCTTATACTTTAGATTTTTAAACCTGAAATTATTCTGTTCGTAAAAAGGAAGGTCATACAACCTGGTTTTAACAGCTTAATTCTATTTTAAATAAAACTTTTCATGACACTCTCCACGTGCCAAGCCTATCATAAATGCTCTACACAGAGAGTAATTCATTGAATCTTTGGTCAGGTCCTGAGAGGGAGGGAGCATTATTATTCCCATTGTATGGAAAAGAAAATTGAGACACAGAGAGGCTAAGTAGCTTGCCCATTGTCACCCAGCTAGTTCATACAGGGTAAGGAAAACTGGGTGGTGGGGGAGGGGAGATGCATGTGCCAACTGTTGAGATTATTTTAGCTTTCTAGTCCTACCACTGCTATTTGCCTTTGAACAAATTGTGCCATCTTTCTGATTCTTAGCAAACCCCATTTATAAATAACGCGGGTAGGGATTCCATGATCTCTAAGATCCCTTCAAATAGTCCTATTGATTTGGGTACAACAAACCTTGCCAAGTCACATAGAGAAAAACCTTGTTTATGCCAGCCTGAAGACTTAAACACAGATTCCAACTTTTAAACTAGCTGTGCATCCTAACACTTCTCTGCAAGTCTCTAAGAACAGTCTTCAGGAAAGGATCTAGCAGGAAGCGAAGAAGGTAGAAAATATTCTGATGGTCTCCAGAAATGCCAATTTTGGTTCTGCATCTGCCAACAGGTCCAGATAATCCTCAAAACTCTGTATAAATCCTGGCCCACTATGCAAGATAATGGAGAAGAGAAACTAGGGAAATTAGAAATTTGAGGGAAGTATGATAAAATAATAGAGACCAATGAAATTTAACACTACCTGGAGGTATCATTACACTTGCTTGTGACTCTTACTAATGGAAACTCACTTTTGCTATACAGAAGAGCCAAATAAATTAATCCACAGCTTTAAGTGAGTTAATAGCTTAATGTAGATCCAATGTGGAAATAAATTAGGTCCTTTTAAATTGATTACAGAATGTCACACTAAATGGTAGATTACAAAGTATACTCACTTTGCAGTTGTATGTACAAATATGATTATATCCAGGACAAAACAAGTACCCTGAAATGAAGTGAAGCTTCTAGAGCTGAAGGCAATCAGAGAGATTATAACGTCCACCAGAGGCCCAGAGGGATAAGTGATTTGCCTAAGGTTATACAGATAGTAAGTGGATATTCCAGGTTTTACCCAGGCTTTCTTGAGCTCAAGTTGAAGGAAGGCTTATTCTTCTGCAGTGTGCATGCAGACAACTTATTATAATGATAATAATAATTACAATAACCATTTACCCAGTACACTGAGCCAGGTACTCTGCTCCCCTCTGTACATATAACCCCTTGCCCACCTGCTCGTATCTCTCTGAGGTCTGTCTAGTTATCCCCATTTTATAGATCGAATGACTGAGACAGCATTTGTGACTGTTCAAAGTTATACAGCTAGCAAATGCTGAGAGCTGGGGGTCTAGTCTCACTCCTGAATCTGTACTCTTTCCCCTAGACCCATTGCTTCACCCATGGGGACTAACATAACCACATCTTTGGCTCATTTTCCTTTAAAATCAGTATTTGAGGGCGCCTGGGTGGCTCAGTTGTTAAGCGTCTGCCTTCGGCTCAGGTCATGATCCCAGGGTCCTGGGATCG